ACATGCCTTTACCTTGTTCCTAGTTCTTCCTTGGATGATATATCTATGGACTTTGTACTGGATTACCTTAGGACTAAGCTGGTAAAAGATAGCATATTTGTTGTTGTGATAGATTTAGCAAAGATGGCTCATTTTATTCCTGTCATAAAACTGATGATGCCATAATGTTGCTGATCTATTCTTAGAGAGTGGTAAGGTTTACATGGGGTACCAAGAAAACTATAGGCTTTTCAGATAGGGATGCAAAAAGTTCCTCTCACACTTTTGGAGAGTTTTGTGGGGAAAAGCTTGGAACTAAATTTGGCTTTTATTCTAACAACTTTGTCATCCACAAAACGGATGGACAAACTGAAGTTGTGTAATAGAACTTTCAGGAACATTTGCTTCGGTTGCCATGTGGTAAGAACTTATAAAAACGGGAGAAGATTGTTTGCCATTCATTGAGTTTTGGCATTATAATCGTAGCATACATTCTACTTCAGGTTTTAAGGCCCATTTGAACTTGTTTATGGCTTTTAATTCCCACTTAACTGTATTAGTAGATCTTTGTTTCATTTTAACCTTTTGAATGAACTTTCTAATTTAGATGGTGATAAAAATGGAAGAATTGGTGAAGTGCTTTACATAGAAGAGGCTGGAAGCCAACATAGAAAAGAGGAACAAGCAATATGCTGAAAGAGCAAACAAGGGCAGAAAGAAGTGGTGTTCATTGCCAGGTGATTGGGTTTGGGTACACTTCGCCAAGGAAAGCGGTTTCCCAAACCAAAGCGAAGAGAAAGCTAGATGCCCCGGTGTGAGATGGTCCATTCAAGTCTTAGAGGCGCATCAATGAAACAATGGCCTACAAGATAGGACTTGCCAGGGTGAGTATGGTGTTTTCTGCAACTTTTAATATTTAGTTGATTTTGTCTCCTTTGACATGGATGCAGATTTGAGGACAAATCTTTTTAAAGAAAGGGGGGATGATAGGGATCCCACTATCACCAAAAACACCTATGGAGCTCAAGGGGAACAAGTACCACATTCAATGGCAATCCATTAGTACTTCCTAGATGGACCAATTACAAGGAGCCGTGCAAGAAGTATGGAGCAAACCATTGCCTTACACATTCAAGAACAAGTCACAACAAAAGAGCTCCATGACCTTGCTTTCCAATTAAGTGCTTATGAAGAAAACTTGAAGGAACACCTAAGTTCTCACATTAAAATAGAAGCACTGTTGAGTTGGGAACTTGAATTTGGTTAGGGCACGCCCGTGCAAGTTGCACGCCCAAGCCTGTGCAAGCTTCTGCCTTCTCAAGGAACATTCACTTGATTTGAAGCACGCCCGTGCCATTACTAGCACGCCCCAGGCCCGTGCACTCTTCTACCTCTCGCGAGGAAAACTCCATACATGCGCGCATGCCCGGTGCCAAACTAAGCATTGCCCCCAGGCCGTGCCACTCTCCTGGCCTCTCGCGAAGGAAAGCCTTATATTTCAAGCACCCGCCCGTGTGCGCCTGGCCACGCCCTAGACCATGCAACCTCCTGCCTCTCATTAAGTAGTTAGTTCTTTGAGTTTTGCAATGTAAATGGGTTGGGCCTTCTATAATTCTGGCCCCCTTGATTATTAGCCTTATTTTTGTTTTTAGATTTATTCAATCTTTAGTAGAATTTGGAATAGATATCCAAATCCTTAAGTAGTTATAACTTGTTAGTCATTATCCTTAGTTTGGTTTAGATTTTGCTAAATCCTTATCCTTAGCTAAACTCTAAATCCTTTAAGGATCTGGACCTCTTTAGATTATTATAAATAGCTTGTTATTTTGTAAATTAATTCAACATTATAAAATTTAAATCATTCAAAGGGAGACTTCCTTTTCATGCTATAGCGTGTTCATGTTTTTAGAGCGTGTGAGATTGCATTCTTCTAATTAACATCAAGAATTCAAGGTAAACTTATCAAATTCTTTTTGTGGAGTTTATCTTATTCTTCTACTCTCATCATGCTGTTTCCGTTTCATTATAAACGAGGGGTCCATAGGGTCCGTTTCATTATAAACGAGGGGTGCCATAGGGGAGGGTTTAGTTTGATCTTGGATCTCTTCCAAAACTTGTCATAGAGTTCATGGAATTTATTTCCAAAGGGTTCCGCGTCACGTTGTCTCCGGCACCGAATGTGGCATCCATCGTCGGGTCTCACGGGACTGGGCGGAGGGTGTTACACTTTAAGTTGGGTTAAGCAGACTGGGTGGGTTATTTAATGTGCTTTTTGAAACGGATTCGCTTCTACTTATCCAAGCATTAGGGTTGAATTCTGTTGATAACTCCTATTTTGGGCGTGTGGCTCAGGAATGCAAATGTTTGATTAAGGAACTTTTAGGTATTTCTGTTTGTTTTATCAAGAGATTAGCGAATAGCGTTGTGCATCTGTTGGCTGCTACCACATATTCTGTATCTGGTTTTAAGGAATAGGGTCATGTCCCTCCTTAAGTTATTTCTCATGCTTTGTTTGCCAATAATGGCTTAATATAATTTTCAATTTTCTCCCCTAAAAAAAAAAAAGATAACAATTTTTTTAAATTTTTATATAGTTGACATATATAACTATTTTTTATTATTAAAGATTAATTTTTCTATATATGCAGGAATTATATAATTACTATAAAAATAAAGATTACATATATGATATATATGGTATTTGCAACAAAGAATTGAGCTTTCTTCGACCAAATAAGGTTATAAATTATTATGTTTTAATTATACTTGGATCTCTTACCTATTTTTTCTTTTTATGTATTTTTTTAAGATCGAATAAAAATTAATCCATAAATTTTGATAAAAAAATTTAATGGTACCTTGAACTTTAAAATTGACACTGTGGATCTTGAATTATAATAACTCATACCTCCTTATAAAAACAACAAATTTTGAGATTTTTGATTTTTATATGCAAAATATTGATTTGATATGTGATTAATATTTTATAACATTAATTTTTATTTTTTAATTATCCAATAAATATTTAATCGATCTAATTTTTAATAAAGCATTAATTATTTATTTTTTAATTATCCAATAAATATTTTTTAATCGATCTAATTTTATAAATTTGAAACCTATTAATAGCAATCAAACAAAATATTTATAGTTCCATTTTATAATTGAAAGTAATTCATTTGCTCAGCAGTAAAAGTTACTGGTGCTAAAAAATTTTTTTTTTAAGTAGAGAGAATAAATTTATAAGACTTAGATCCTATTTTTAAATTTTAAGTTTTTTTATTAGCTCAAAAATATATGTATTTTGTAAATAAATTAAAAAATAAAATATTGATTTCCAATAGTCGCGACTCACCTCTTTTTTCTTTGTACAAATACTTTCATTTACGATCAACATTTTCTCGGAGTCCTTCTCTGAACGAATTTATTTCGGACAGATGAATCAGGCGATACATAAGTAAATCGTAAAAAAAATCGCAAAAAAAAAAAAATTCTAGAAAGTTGAATTAAAATATTTTTAAAAGATTTTTGTTGGTCCAAATTTAACAATGCGAATTTCGTGATTAAATATAAAGTTGACGGCTATCAACAGGAACTGATTTCGGATTGGTATTTTGGCCACATATTTTTTTCCCTTTTTTAATTTTCTGTTACTGATATTCCCTCTCGCGGCTTCTCTGTCTTTCTCACGCGTTCTTAACGAATTTCCCCGGTCTCCTTTCGGTGGACTTTCATTGCACGTTTGCCGTAAGCTATAGGCGCATAGGAGTATATATAGAGACCGTCGTTTCGCAGGTTTGGTTCTTTATCTCATTTTTGTTCCTTTTTTTTTCCTGTTTCGTTCGTTCGGCCGCACGACTTCCTCTTTCACTCTGAAGCTTCTTCAAGTCTCTCGCCCAACCCGAACTACCCACAATGGTCGCTGGATCCAGCTCTTCTTCTAGGCTCTCTACTATTATTTTGTTTCAAGAATCTTTCATATTTATTATTAACAGAACAGATAAAGAAGATAGAATGATTTATAAGGAACATAATATTTGTGCACATAATACACACAACATAGGAAATGAGGCTTGAACAGACGATGACACCTTAAACTATGGATTTGGCGTTCAATTTGCTGCTTTTGTTTTCCTCTTATCCAGACATTAACCATCACATGCACGCTGACTACGATACATAATTTCTAATTCTCAATTAACACTGACACACTTTATCAACATATATTTGTGAAGTTTTTTAAATGAGCTGCCAAGTCTTGTTAACCGCAAAATTTTATTATGGTGCTTTATTATATTTATTTTTTTCTAATCCTAACTTTAGTTATTTCCTTGTGTCTTCTTTTGATTAATACAGTGAATTGTATTAGAAAAGGAGATGAATCTTCTAACTACCATTACTTTTAATAAAACTAAGGAGATGACTTGTGATTTGCAAACTTGCGGGAAGACTAGTATTTTGATGCAGAAGGTGAAAAACATTTTCACATCTTTATGCAAAATATTGATTTGATATGTGATTAATATTTTATAACATTAATTTTTATTTTTTAATTATCCAATAAATATTTAATCGATCTAATTTTATAAATTGAAATATTTAATAGATCAAACAAAATATTTAATAAGTCAAATTTTATAAATTAAAGTATTCAATTGCTCAAAGTAAAAGTTACTGGTGCTAAAATTTTTTTTTAAGTAGAGAGATAAATTTATAGATTAGATCTATTTTTAATTTTATTTTTATTAGCTCATATATGTATTTTGTATAAATTAAAAAATAAAATATTGATTTCCAAATAGTGCGACTCCTCTTTTTTCTTTGTAACCAATCCTTTCATTTACGATCAACATTTTCTCGAGTCCTTCTTGAACGAATTTATTTCGGACATGAATCAGGATAACACTAGTAAATGTAAAAAATGAAAAAAAAAAAAAAATTCTAAAGTTGATTATATTTTTAAAATTTTTGGGTCACAATTTAACAATGGGATTTCGTGGATTAATAAAAGTTGAGGCTTCAACAGGACACTGATTTCGGATTGGTATTTGCCCTATTTTTTCCCTTTTTTATTTTCTGTTACTTTCCCTCTCGCGGCTCTCTGTCTTTCTCACGCGTTCTTAACTTCCCCGGTCCTCCTTTCCGGTCGGACTTTCATTGACGTTGCCGAAGCTGATAGCGTCCGGCGATCTTCTCTGCCGACGTCGTTTCCAGGTTTGTTCTTTATCTCCTTTTTGTTCCTTTTTTTTTCCTGTTTGTCTTCGCCCACGACTTCCTCTTTCACTCTTGAAGCCTTCTTCAAGTCTCTCAGCCCACCCGAACACCCACAATGGTCGCTGGACAGCTCTTCTTCTAGGTTCCTTTATTTGTTCAAATCTTTTTATTTATCTATTCAACCGTAAGGATGAATTTAAGGAACATAAAATGTGCACATATACAACATAGAATGAGTTGAACAGAGATGCTTACTTGTTTGGCGTTCAATTTGCTGCTTTTGTTTCTCTTACCTTCTCTTGCTATCTCTTTCTAGTTCAACTGACAACTTTATCACATTTTGTGAAGTTTTAATCTCCAATCTTGTCCAATTTTTTGTGCTTTATTTATTTATTTTTCTATCTAACTTGTTTTTCTTGTGTCTTCCTTTTGAATTAATTGAATTGGTATTAGAAAAGGAGATGAATTTCAACTCCATTTACTTTTTAAACTTAAGGAGATGACTTGTGATTTGCAAACTTGGGGAGATAGATTTTGATTTGCAGAGGTGAAAAACCATTTCATATCTTGGCTGCATTTTATTTGAAATGAAACCCTCTCTTTTCTTTTTAGCAGTAAATTGTTAATCCCTTTTTATCAGTGTGAAAATGATCGCTGTTCATTGCATCATAGGTCGGTGATACAATGAGCCGACCAACTACGCGGAGTAAAAACAAAAGACGACAGGAGGATAATGTTAATATCACCTCTGAAATATTGAGGTACAAGTATTTGTCTTTCCCGTAGATTATATTTTTTTTACTTCATAAGCATGCTCTGCTATGTGTTGTTTCTGAGTTTTTTCTGGTCCTTGGTGTAGGAAAATTCATGCAACAAGTGAAATAACCAATGATGATGTAAATCAACTGTACATGATTGGGAAACCAGCTTGTCAAGGCTGTCGTGTGAATACTAAAGATAATCCCAACTGTTTTTGTGGCCTGATTCCACCACCCAATGGCAGTCGCAAATCTGGGTTATGGCAAAAATTGTCTGATATTGTTCAAGCCCTTGGCCCAGACCCATGCAAGGATCTTCGTGCTTCTGCTGGTTCACCTGCTGGCCTCACAAACCTGGGAGCAACATGCTATGCCAATAGCATACTTCAATGTCTTTACATGAATACATCTTTTCGAGAAGGGGTTTTCTCTGTTGAATCTGAAGTATTGAAACAACAGCCTGTTTTGGATCAGCTTGCTCGGCTTTTTGCACAGTTGCATGCAAGTAAAATGGCTTTCATTGACTCAGCTCCATTTATAAAGACGCTGGAGTTAGATAATGGAGTTCAGCAGGATAGCCATGAGTTCTTGACGTTACTTCTTTCCTTGCTTGAACGCTGTCTAAGCCATTCTAAAGTTTCCAAAGCAAGAACAATCGTTCAAGATCTCTTCTGTGGAAGTGTGTCACATGTAACAACGTAAGAAAATTGCTAGTCTTTTAGATCTGCAGTTCCTTCCTTTTAGTACAAATAAAATATTTGCTGTTTTGAGTAATCGTTGTATGTGAAAATGAACCAAATGTTTTCACTGGACACATTAGATACATCTTAATGATGTAAGCCATATCTCTCTGCCTCTTGTGTTGTTTGAGGTGGGATGAACAGTGATAATGAGTGATACAGTCTGAAAGTAGTTAACCTTCAGAATTTATTTGAAGAACATAGGAAGAATGGAGATGGATTTATATACATTAAGAAAGAGGCATAATCACTTCCATTTGAACTTGAAAGTTCCTCTGAAAAAAGAGAAAGGAAAAGAAAAAGGCAATGTTTGTTTTAGAAGCTGACTTGACCATTTGCTTTTGTGTTAATTCTGTATAGGTGCTCAAAATGTGGACAAAATTCTGAAGCTTCTTCAAAGATGGAAGACTTCTATGAGCTGGAGTTGAATGTAAAAGGATTGAAAAATTTGGATGAGAGTTTAGATGATTATCTTAGCGTGGAAGAACTTCATGGCGAGAATCAATATTTCTGTGAATTGTGTAAAATGAGGGTTGATGCTATTCGAAGTATCAAACTAAGAACTCTGCCTGATGTCCTAAATTTTCAGCTTAAGCGTTGTGTTTTCCTTCCAAAGGTACTTTGTGATGTGTGTTTGAAAACTTCTCTGTTTTCTTATTATTATTGTTATATTGTGTTATAAATCATTATGTATATTCATGCCTCTCCCGAATATCAGTTACTTTTCTTATTTTAAAATGTTTTAGGCAATTAGCAATTTAGAGTCTGGCTATATTGTCTAATAAGGAGGATGATTTTTACATGCTTCATGAGAACAGTAGCAGCTACATCAGATGTGGCTTCTTGTACAATAGTTATACAGAGCTTATGATGGGTGCTTGATTATACCCATGGGAAATTATTGCTTATGTTTGTCATAACATTGTTTATAGTGGAAGTTTGATGATGGGGCATCTAAAAACAGTGTGCTGTTAAGGCTGACATATGCAATTGTTTATTGCCCATTCTGTGATTGAAAGTCTAAGGATGGTCATAATTTGATGGCATTTATCAGGCATTTCATTGTTGCTGTGATAACTAGTGCAACATAACTGATCTGTATTTTGGTGCCAATTTTATTGTGTTTTTGTGAATAACATTAGGTGTTTTGCTTTTATCGTTTGGTCTTAACAGTGGTTTGGTACTTTGAATTCCAACCCTGGCTGTTTGAGATCTCAACTTGATGTTTTTCACTTTATTCCTCATCTGAGAACATTACCACTAGATGTAATGTAAAACTTTCTTGGTATATATAATAAAGTGTTTAAGCTTTTTGCTCATATTGGTTTCTGTCAGTAGACGACAACAAAGAAGAAAATCACATCTGCATTTTGTTTCCCTGGAGTTCTGGATATGAGACAGAGATTGTCTGAATCTTCTATGTTGGATTGGATATATGACCTGTCAGCAGTGTTGATTCACAAGGGAACGGCTGTAAACAGTGGTCATTATACTGCTCATATTAAGGATGAAAATACTGGGCAGTGGTGGGAATTTGATGATGAGCATGTCTCAAACTTAGGTCTTCATCCATTTGGAGAAGGCTCTTCAACTTCTACATCAAAAGTTGTTAATAGTGAGCCTCCAGCTGGCATAGAAGAAATTCATGTTGTTACTAATGGAAATCATATTGACACTGCTCAGCCACAGTCTTTGAAACCGAGCACTGATAGTCTTGCCGGAACATTTTCATCTAATGATGCATATATGCTGATGTATACTCTTAGGCGTACCAAGAAGGTAGATGAGAAAAGACCTGTTGTTTGTGGTGACAGCAAAATTGAATTAGAAAGTAATGAGAGTTCTTCACATGAAACTTCTCTTCCATCTCACCTTTTTGAAGACATAAAGAATTTGAATGCATCGTATCTTGATGCTTGCGAACGGTACAAAATGAAGAAGGAAAAAGAGGTGAATAATATTGCAGAAAGGAGACAAGAAGTGCGATCAGTTCTTGCTGAAGCTCCTGTACGGTCATTTGAAGCACCATGTTATTGGGTTTCTGTTGATTGGCTTCGCCAGTGGGCTGACAATGTTACTCCAACGTAAGTTCAAGTTTCATGATGTTGCTGCAACATTTTCATATGAAGGTGCCCTTCTTTTTATTTGCTTCTTTATACTGCTTGGAGATGTGCTACATCTAGTCTAGGCCAAAACACAGCTACAATTCTTTGCATTACCATTTACCATCACAGTCAACTATAATTATCTTAATGATTTATTTTGTAGTTTATGTGTTCATGTTTTGTCTGTATGATCTTGACATTGCTGTTTGGCTATTGTTTAGGCTTTTTACAATTTTACTAACTGTAACTTCCAGCAGTTCAATAGATAACACCCCCATCCAATGCTCGCATGGAAAAGTTCCAGTTTCAAAAGTTGGCTCTATGAAGAGGTTGTCTGCTGAAGCTTGGACCAAACTGTTCTCCAAGGTATCTACATTTCTAATTCTTCTAACTCATATTCAGAGAAAGTATATCATATCTATCAATGCTTTCCCTAGTTATAGTTGAAATGTGAAATATGCCTAATGTGCTAGATCTCATGTATGATGAGATGCAAGGTGCCAAAAAGTCACCTGCCCAAGTAAATTGAAGTGCATTCAGTAATTAAACAATTCATGTTCAGCGAAACTGCGTCATATGTATCAATTCTTTCCCTAGTGTTGTTTGGTTGAAATGTGAAAGATGTGCTAGATCTCATGTATGATGAGGTGCAAGGTGCCAAAAAATACTTGTGCTAGTAAATTGAGGTGCCTTCAGTAATTAAACCATTCATATTCAATTAAACTATGTCATATATATCAGGGGTTTCTCTAGTGTATAGTTGAAATATGAAGATGCCTTTAATGTGCCAGACCTCGTATGATGAGGTGCAAAGTGGCAAAAAGTCACTTACCCAAGTAAATTGAAGTGCCACCAGTAATTAAACCATTGATTACACACACATATATAGAGAGAGATTGAAAAAGAAAACTATATTAAGATTGGAAAAACCTCAAATTTACTCGAATTCAGGCTGCCATATTAAGTCCTGAGTTAAGATCCATTTGGGTTTACATAAATTGCCTACTAACTTTGGCAAGGCTTGCCTCAATAAAATTGCTTTGCCTTGATGGTCAGTGGACATGTTAAATTTGTTTCGTCTTTTGGCTTCTGACTAACTAGATGATTGCGTTGCTTTCATTTCGAAAAAAGTATTCATGGTGCGAAACTCATTTTGTTTACATATGGAGTGTTTTCTCTTTCATCATGTAAAACTTGAAACTGTATTTCTTAGTTTAAAGTTTGTTAAGGAATGTTTTTTATTCTCTATAAAGTTTGTTAAAGAGCCATGTTTTTGATTCTCTATTTCTTTGTGAGCTCATGTCTGACTACCTCAGGTTCCTCCTCTCTCATTTAACCCTTTTTTCTGTCTTGGTTTCTTGCTGAATTGTGCAACCTTTGCTGATAATTTTTTGTTAAATGCATGTAAAATCAGTATGGTGGAGGGCCAAAACTAACAAATGATGACTACTGCATGGCTTGCCTGATTGATGGTGCAAAATCTGTTGTCTGTGCCGATAGCTATAGGGATCGAAGGGCATTAATGAGGGACCTGGCATCTGATGTACTTGCAGGGAACTGTCTTGATGGAACATATTATGTATCTAAGACATGGTACGATTGTATATCTCATACTGGTTCTCTCCTTTTCCTGTTAATATGTTGTGATTACATCTGTGATTAGATTAGATGTGGCTTGCCGGAGGACTTTTTCAATATTTTAGGAATCAACTGTTGTCATAACAGTATATAGTTTTTTGTTGTCCCCATACACCACTGAATATTAAAGCATATATGTCATCCTGATCTTTGAACATTAGCATTTTGCTTGCTGTGGTTCTGGGGAAGGTTTCTAGTGTTCTGTTTCTTTTACACTTGCAGGTTGCAGCAATGGGTGAGAAGAAAAAACCTTGATGCTCCAAGCGAAGGTGATGCAGGGCCAACAGTTCCAATTAGGTGCCCTCATGGGCAACTTATGCCTGAGCAAGCGTCTGGTGCCAAGAGATTGCTGGTACCAGAGAAGCTTTGGCTCTTCTTTTATGAGGATGCGATTGCAGTGAAACCTGATGATCCTTTGGGTTGTACAACTTTTCCTTCTGATTCTGAGCAGTGTCTCCAGTGCTGCGATGAACTTTCTGAAGTTGCCTGTTTGGAGGATTCTTTAAGGTCATTTACATGTCTAGAATATTGCATGTGTTACATAAGTATTTTATGTGTAATGCTCGTGAATTTTGATTTTCTGTGTACTTCAGAGCAATGAAGCTAAAACAACGCCAGAATCATGAGAAACTGGCCATGGGAAAAGGCATTCCCCTTTCTTTGTACTGCAAGTATTACTTGGTTCCCTCTTCATGGCTTGCAAAATGGAGAAATTATGTAACTGCAAGTGGCAAGAATCTCTCTTCATCAGTGGAACCTGAAACTCTGGATTTTGTAATTGATTCGTTAAAATGTGAAAAGGTAACTTGCAACTTTGCTTGAAAATTCTTCTCAATCATAATAGTTACTTTTCCTAGACATTTTTTCGCATAAACAACAGTTGAAGTCAATGTTTATGTTCAGTTGTTGGCATTCCCTTCTTTTCTCCCTGCTGCTCTCTCCTCTATCCAACTGCCTCGAGTTGGATTTCAAGCTCAGCCTTCTCTTTGACTCTTTTGTAGTCATTTTTCGCCTTTTGCTATCCTATAGAATGCATATGTTAGAATGCTGGGGATATGGAAATATGGTGTGGCAAATGATTTGGAAACTATCAAATCCTTGCATTTTATTTCTACCCGTATTATAATCATAAAGATATGCATTATAATATTATTCTTGTTCATTTTCTTTATATTTTATTTTTCCTTTTTCAGCATTTACGGCTCCTAGAACGTCCTCCTGACCTGGTTTTCAAACGTGGCATACTATTTCAGAAGGGTTCTACTGTAAGTATGATGAATATATTAATTTAATATGTTCTTGGCAAGAATGTAAATCTGACCATTTCTGCTTCTAAGCAATACTATTATGATTAGCCCAGCAAAATGAGGGAAAATGAATAGGTAGTTCTACTGAGTGATCTAATGTCATATTTTTCCTCCTCCCCCCAATTCCCCTGTCCTTTGGATTCTAGACAGATGGCTTAACAATCATTACTGAGAATGACTGGAATAATTTCTGTGAAGAATGGAGTGGTAGTAAGGATAAGGGTATTTTTGCAATAATTGAGCCCAGTAATGTTGCGGAAAACAATTTGGCTGGCTCCTGCGAAGAGATTCCTATAAATGAGGAGCATCTGAATCCTCAAGATGAAGTAAATAATGAGACTGAAACCAGACAGCCTATAATTAGGACTTGTCCTGAGGTAATTGAAACTTAACCTTGTTCATTTTTGAACATGCCTTTCTATGAGCTAAAGTTTGATGTCATCGAGTGAAAGTTTTAATTCTTAACCTGACTGAGGTCTTTCTAAATTCTCATAGATTTGTGAGGACTGCATAGGGGAAAGGGAAAGTTGCAAGTTGATGCAGAAACTCAATTACTCCAATGAGGATATATATGTATCTCTTGTTCATGGTAAGGAAGCTCCAAGATCAGTTCTAGAAGCATCTGAGACCAATTCTGAGCCTGATCGGCGAGCTTCCAAACGTTCTCGAAAGACCAGTTATGGGAATTCAGTAAATTTGAAAGTTTCTGGTTCTACATCAATATACCAGTTAAAAATGATGATTTGGGAATCACTTGGGGTAAGCCATATTGACAAATGCAGTCATAAATATCTGAATTTTGAAATTCGATGCATGATGATGTGGGAATTAATCTGTGTTAATGTCGTTGTTACATGCATGAGGCATGAAAGATATTTGTTTATTTATTGTAACAGGAAATCCAGTTTTATGTGATTTAGGAAAGATTAACCCATAAACTCAGACTTAGGTAGGTGAAACTGAGAATTGAGCCTGAGTGGTACAGGTGGGTGCCTCCTGCTTTTGTCACCAGACCAAATACTATCAGAGATCTTAAGTATGAAGGTTCTGGAATATTTTAAACGAAGGGGTTTTTGTGCTTCCTTTGAATCTCTCTGATCATTTTTCATGGATTATCATCCCAAAGTTTTTTTAATAGGCATAATCAATTTGTCTTTGTAGCTGCTACTAAACCAATAGAATAATGCTCAACTCTGAAGCTGGTTCAACATATGGGCAGCTAAAGAAATATATACTCTCCAAAATGGATAGATTGGGTTAGATGGCATCTTAAGCACAATTAGGGAATTACCTGTTGGGTTTTGCATTACGCAACAGTGAACACATTAAGGGGAAGTTTGAGAAAAGACATTCCCCATTTTCATTCCCTATTTTTTCATCTATAAAATGACAATTCTTTATCAAATGCTATTCTGTCAGTTTTTACACGAGTATATATTGAATGGTGTCCTAGCGCCAAACAAGGCTGCCTGTGCAGGTTGCTAGTTCCTGGGGGAGGTTAAGATGTCAATAGTATTCTTGTCCTTCTGCTTGCATTTGCAAGGAGGCTATTTCTGTGATTTGAACACGTGACGTTTAGTTTATGATGGAGATGATATGTATGGAGCTTTGCAGCCCCTCTACTTGCATTTCCAAGATGCTTTCCTGCATTTCATTCCTGATCTTTATGTCACATGCGTAGTTATTAAACCCAGCTAAGGGGCTGGATTGACAAGTCACTAGTTCAACCAGTTGAACCAGCTAAAGATAAATTAATTATCTAATAAGTAATAATGTTATTATAAATTGATTAAAAATCACAAATGTAATATAAGCATATAGAAAGATAAACTCTGAGACCGAGTGATTTTCTAATTTTTTTTTTTTTTTTTTTAACAATCAAACTTCAAATATTAGTACGTATGTTTTTAACTTATGTTTTTATTTATATAATGTGAAACTTCAAAACATAATATGTAACACCTTAATTCCTTATGCAATTTCTAAGTCTTCTTTTAATTTTATTATTTATACGTTGTAAGTATTACTTTTATAAGTAGTTGAAAGAGTATCTAGTTAAATAGTAAACAAATATTTTGTTATATATACATACATAAAAAATATTAAAAATCTTTTACATTTCCGTCTCCCGAATCTAACATATTTGATCCTTTTTACAAAATTTTATTTATTTAAAGTGTGAACTGGAGCAATGACTGTGTCATTGGATCTCACGGTTCAAGACAATCCCATTGGGTCAATCTGGTTTCTATGTGTCTAGCTTATCTGGTTCAATTAAAGACACAGTTTCAGCCTGATTTAGTGCCCAGGTCACCGTTTCACCGGTTTTACTGTCCGGGCTGGGCTAGGATTGATAAATATGGTCACATTTGACTTATCATGCTCACTTCGATATATATGAATGACGTGTATGCCTGAATCAAAAATGCGTGATTTGTATGATTATCCTTGACTAGGTCAGAATGAAGAATCAAAATAGATTTTAAAAGAAAGAAACAAAGAGAAAGGAGATTACAGATCACTCAATAAATGATAAGTTTTGGTTTCAGATGGTTTCATGTCTGCCTCTACAAATGATGCTTCCATTCATTGCATTTCCAAGATTAACCTTTTATATACGGCAAAATACATAAATTGGCACCTAAATTTTAAGTCTGTTGGCACTCTCAAACTTTTTAATTTGACGATCATTGAACATTTCAAGTTACAAAATTGTGCTTATTGAACACAACAACTTGCAAAATTTCACCTACAAAACACAAATTTATGCATTTTTCAATTAATTGATTTCTGTTCAATGAATGCTCTTTGAAAAGTTGAGGTGTTCGATAGGTCAAATTAAAAGTTATGAGGGTGCTGATAAATGTTTTTTTATGTAAAATTCATGTTTCAATTTATGTATTCAGCCAATATACTGTTATTTGACTTGATTCATGTTATAATCACTGTTGCTTGTAGATTTGATTTATGATGGCAAACATCATACATTGATGCAGGTAGTTAAAGAGAACCAGATACTTCACAAAGGTTCTAAGATAATTGATCAGGAATGTGCTACTCTTGCAGACTTCTGATTTAGTGCCCAGGTCACCGTTTCACCGGTTTTACTGTCCGGGCTGGGCTAGGATTGATAAATATGGTCACATTTGACTTATCATGCTCACTTCGATATATATGAATGACGTGTATGCCTGAATCAAAAATGCGTGATTTGTATGATTATCCTTGACTAGGTCAGAATGAAGAATCAAAATAGATTTTAAAAGAAAGAAACAAAGAGAAAGGAGATTACAGATCACTCAATAAATGATAAGTTTTGGTTTCAGATGGTTTCATGTCTGCCTCTACAAATGATGCTTCCATTCATTGCATTTCCAAGATTAACCTTTTATATACGGCAAAATACATAAATTGGCACCTAAATTTTAAGTCTGTTGGCACTCTCAAACTTTTTAATTTGACGATCATTGAACATTTCAAGTTACAAAATTGTGCTTATTGAACACAACAACTTGCAAAATTTCACCTACAAAACACAAATTTATGCATTTTTCAATTAATTGATTTCTGTTCAATGAATGCTCTTTGAAAAGTTGAGGTGTTCGATAGGTCAAATTAAAAGTTATGAGGGTGCTGATAAATGTTTTTTTATGTAAAATTCATGTTTCAATTTATGTATTCAGCCAATATACTGTTATTTGACTTGATTCATGTTATAATCACTGTTGCTTGTAGATTTGATTTATGATGGCAAACATCATACATTGATGCAGGTAGTTAAAGAGAACCAGATACTTCACAAAGGTTCTAAGATAATTGATCAGGAATGTGCTACTCTTGCAGACTTGAATATATTCCCCGGGGATAAGCTTTGGGTGCAAGACTCTGAAATCCATGAGCATAGAGATATTGCTGGTAAGTAGTAATTGCAATGCTTAAGCTACTGTAAAATAAATGGTCATTTTTTATGCAATTTGCAGAATTCTTCTATATGCTATCCATGGGGTGTAAATCTTGTGACTAGCTATTACTAGACTGCATATTTAAGTGTCTTCTAAATAAAGGTGTACTTACACTTAAGGTGTTTTCAGGTTCCTATGTCATATAGATTAACATTTTGCTTGTCCATTGCCTTTTGGTTGGACATTAAGTGTTATGTTTGAATTATATGAATATAGTTTCTTTGAATATTGTGATTTATTGACTGGAAAATATTTATGGATGGTGTTACTTCCACAACACGTGATGTTAATGGCAGAGCAAATACATTATTTGGACAAAATTGCCCTTTCCATTCCCTTTAGCCATCTAACCTCCCTTTTGTTCTTTCATGTCCCCCAAATCTAAAACTTCTTGTCTTCAACAGCAACAGGAAGCAGGAAATGCCAAGCCAACAACTTCATGTCCAAAATAATTATATTCAAACCTTCCTTTTCCATTCACCTTTCGATTCTCTTTTCCATCCACTCTAACTTCAACCTCTTACATGACTTTCTTCTTATTTTCAGCACCCTCCACTAACTGCCAACTCTTGCCTATGCTGCCAATGGCTTTTTGGTTCAAGCCTTGGAATGTTTTATGCAAATGAGAGCTTCCGGTAAATGCCCAGATTATAGCGAGTTCCCTTATGTGCTAAAGTCGTGTACTTTGTTGTTGGACCTAAAATTGGGTGAGTTGTTCATGGTTGCATTATTAGATTGGGTATGGACTTTGATTTGTATGCTGGAATGCCCTGTATGCAAGGTTTTAGATTTCCAAATAGAATGGCTTGCAGAAAAGAGACAAAAAGATGTTAATTTGATGGAATGCCTGAGAGAATCTGTTACAGTAAATTAGTTAACAAATATGAGAAACAAATATTGGATTTGATAAAAATGTTTTGCCTCAAATTATGGAAACAACAAAGTCATTAAAACTTTAAATTGATGTTTAAAGTCCCTCGAGTTTAGATTTAGGGGACTATGTTGTTGTCAAAGAACAAAAGGGAGAAGAGATTGCTAAAATGAATAAAAGGGCAATTTTGTCCAAATAGTAAATTTTGCTCTTGTATTCACATTCAGTTTTTTTGGAAATAACACCACCCATAGTTATATCCTTATTTATTGGGTGAAATATTTATCACCTCTAGTTACTTTTGACTCAACTTGGATGAGCATGCCCAGATGTGAATATGACGCGACGGCACTTCATATTAGCAAGGAGGTAAAACTAGATTTAGGGATTTTTTTATTGATTCTTAATTTCTGAAATTCTTATTTTTATTGTGAAATTTCCTGTATAGTAAAAAATTAGGTATTAATACTGTGGATTTTTTTGTTTGAAAAATATTAGTATAGACTTGTTTAGAAATTTTGATTCCTATTGTATAGTTGGTTTATAATTTTCTTAATTAAGTACTCATAGTAATGGTTATTAAGTCTACAAATACATATGTAGTAGTTATTTCCTTATGTTTTGGCAATTGCCACTTTGAATTTTGAATTGGTTTTGAAGTCATTTGTGTTTAGTTTTCTCATTTCTTTTTTTAAACTTTCCCATCTTTGCTGCTAAATTATCTCAGTAGATGTTACTCCTAGCATTAAGACAACCTTTTAGATTTCTTCTCTTTTCTATTTTCACTCTAATAAGCTGTAATTAGTTAATTAACCCTGTACTTTCTTCTTTAAATCTCAACAGTAAAATTCTCTAAAATTACTTGAGATTTGACCACCATAAATGTTAACTTGCCCTACATCAGAAGTATGAGATTTGGTCTTATTTGCTGACATTATAATAGAGTTCAATTGACATAATTTATCAACAGTGCATCCCCCTCTATATAAATTTATGTATGTTTTAGAAAAATTGAACATCACCAAGTGGCAGACATCTAAATTGTTGCTTTTGCTTTGCATCAGCATAGTTCATGCTATACAAGTGTCTGTGTATTCGCTGGTGGAAATTTGTTGAGTAGCAGGTTGTATTAAAGAATAGGTGTGGGCTGGAGCTATATCATCCTGTACAGATTAAACAATTGTGTGTTTGTAATCTCTCAAATTTTATATAAAGAGAACATAATAGAAGTTTCTTCTCACTTTTATTTTAGATAGATATATTTAAATCTTAACTTTGGTACATGATATAATACTTTGTTGTTCCTGCTTTTAGATTTATGTATTCTTCTTCTTCTAAGTGATTTTGAATTAATACTTTCTATTCATCCAAAAAGAAAAGAGAGAAAAAAGGACCTTGATTAGATTCTCTGCACTAAATTGCTGTATTTTATTCTGACCTTCGTGATCTTAACATTAAACAGATGAGCTTGCTGACCAGAAAATGAATAAATCGCATGCTGAAGAAGGGTTTCGTGGAACGCTTTTGACTGCAGCAGATATTTCATCGGAAGTTGTTTAAGATGAATGCTTAAAATAGTTGGTCTCCATGTTACATATCCACCTTTGTACATATGGATTCTGGGAGAGGAAACTAACCTGAATGTTTGACCTGACTATCTTAGGTAATAATGTTCAAATTTCTTTTTATTAATATTAATTACAGTTTGGTCTTTATCTGGAAAATGTCTAGCAAATTTTTATGTACTTTTAAAATACTCATCTTGTTAGTATAGTAGTACTGTAGACCTGTGAGGAGTGGGTTGACTAAAATGCTAAAATCTTAGTTATAGCATTTTTTGGCGACAGGAATTTTAGTAGTTTGAGAATGGTGTGCTGGATATTATTTCATTTATAGGCTTTGCTTAGCCTGCTGGAGGGCTTGACTAGGCTCAACTGTGATCCAAAAGGACAAACCATATATATGTCTGTAATATAAAATATAATATAATATATATTAATGCCGACCTCACCTGCCGCCCTCTACCGCCTTTGTCCCCGCGCTGGCTTTGCTTCAAAGTAGAAAGTAGGGAAGGCAAGACAGCTCCAAGCCAACGTTGGTATGTTTAACTACACTGGAAAGGAAAAGAAATTGCCTATGCATGCTTTTCATGCAACAGCTTAACAAAATGGTTTGCTCTTTGTAAGAACCTTAATTTCACATATTAAGATAAAAAAAGATGGATGTGTATGCTTACTATCGAAGTATTTCTCTTTGATATTCATCCCTGAAACTTTGCATGATGATATTAATGGTCCATTTTTATCAATCCTTGTGCAGAACCAGCAGGTGGGATTGGTGATTTTGGCGCTGAGCATTTTGAAAGGCTGGTGGATTAGTGCTTCTATATATAAATATATTTGTAACATTTGTACTTGGACATATTATAAAATATATTTGTAACATTTTGTACTTGGACATATATATAGTATATACGATAATATGATATATATATATTATTTTATATATATATAAGACATTATGTACTCTGCTACATTGGGAAAAGAAAAATTGAAAACGTGGTGTTTTTAGTGGCAGATTTCTGTCGCGTTGAGTTGCATATGAACGATATTGCCATGTTTTCTGTGGCTCTCGTTTTTAAGGTCCACTAGCCTCACGTCCTATTTCTCCGAGCCGGAGGTATTTATATATATATAAGACATTATGTACTTAGCTAGCACTTGGGAAAGAAATGAAAACGTGTGTTTTGTGGCAGATTTCTGTCCGTTATCATATGAACGATATTGCCATGTTCTTCTGTGGCTCTTTTTAAGTCCACTAGCCTCACGTCTATTTTCCGAGCCGGAGGTATAATAATAAACAGCAAACACTATAGGAGTTTGAGGGCTTAATTGTCATTTTGATCATATAAAACTCGAGTTTAAATCTGATATTCTGTAATGATGATCAGCCAAATGCCAAAAACAAAACCTGTTCTAAGGCACGATGGTGGGAGCCTTTTGCATCAATACAAATTAACAGTTAAAATCTTCAAGAAATAAAGAAATTAAGATTTGAAGAGGAGAAATTTTTAAAAAGCACACATCTTATTATTTTACTGGGAGAAAGATTGGGATTCGATGATTCCTCATAACACAAAGGTTCTATAGAAAAAAGACCATCCAAAATGACAAACTACTATATTACACATAAAAAGAGATAATTTACAGAATATTTCAAGCTTTTGCTTTATTATTCCCTAAGTATGTACGGTTTAAATGGAAACTAAGAATCACTACAAGTATGGTAATACACTCTTTATAATTCCTAATCATAATCACAGAACCACAACTATATCTCTAGGATCTCTAGAATAATATTCTAATAAATACAATATAATCTAACACTCCTCTCAAGCTAAAGTGTGCATTCTTATTTCCTTATCTTGTTACAAATATATTCAATTCGAGGACCTCTAAGAGTTGGTAAGAATATCTATCTAAATCATTCGGATTGACGAAGGAGGTAATAGTACAACCTGATTGAATTTTTAATCTTGTAAAATGACAATTTATCTTTATATTTTTTGTTTTTTCATGAAGCATTAGATTTGATGCAATATGCAATCCTGCCTGATTGTCACATTAGTTTCATCTGCTTTACTTTGCCACACTTCAACTCCTGAAGAAATTGTTTTGGCCAAATAAGTTCACAAGTAGCCAATCATGGCTCGATATTCCGCTTCTCCGCTTGATCTGGCCACAACATCTTGCTTTTTACTTTTCTAGGACATTAGATTCCATTCAATCATAATACAGTAGTCTAAAGTAGATCATTTATTAGATGGGAAGGCCTACCAATTTGCATCAGAGTAGCCAATTACTTGTGTATCATGACCTTTGTCTTTATATAACAAGCCATGTCTAGAGGTACCTTTGATATACCTCAGAATGCGAATAACAACAACCCAATGGCTATCACATGGAGACTAGAGAAATTGGCAAATCACTTATTGCAAAACAAATATCTGGTCAGGTGATTGTGAGATAATTAAGCTTACCAACAAGTTTTTTGTATCGACTAGGATCTTTAAATGGCTCCCCCTATCCCAGAATAAGTTTCACACTGAGATCCATAGGAGTATCCACAAGTTTGTTGTCTATTAAGCCAGTCTCTTCCAGTATATATAATGCATATTTCCTCTATGAAATTGCAACACTTGTCTTTTATGCTACCTCTATCCCCAAAATTTGTTTTAGTTTTGCCAAGTCTTTCATTTGAAAGTGGTTAAATAAATGTTGCTTAAGTTAGTATATCCCTTCATGATCATTACCTGTTATGACAATATCATCAACATAGACCACTAAGTAAGTGCATTTACCATGATCTACATGTCGGTAAAAAACTAAGTGATCAACTTCACTTTGACTTATGCCACATTGTTGAACAACAACACTAAGTCTTCCAAACCATTCATGTGGAGATTGCTCCAAACCATACAGAGATCGACGTAGTTGACATAGCAAACCAAACTTCCCCTAAGCAACAAAACTAGTGGTTGCACCATATACTTTCTCAACCAATTCTCCATGGAGGAAAGTATTTTTAATATCAAGTTGATGAAGAGTCCAATGATTAATAGATGCTAGAGAGAGAAGGAGTCGAATAGAAGCAATCTTTGCCACTGGTGAAAAAGGTATACCATAAATTTGTGTATTCCTTAGCTACAAGCCTAGCTTTCAAATGGTCAATTTTGCCATCAAGACCAACTTTGAAAGTGTAAACCCAATGACAGCCAATGGTACTTTTGCCATGAGGCAATGAAACAAGTTTTTAAGTGCCATTATTGTGAAGTGCAATCATCTCTTCAGTTATAGCTGCAGACCAACTAGAATGGGCAAGTGCTTCACTGGCATTTTAAGATATAGAAACAATAGACAAGGTGGAAACAAAGGCATAGTAGGAAGGAGATAAATGATGACAACTCAAGAAATTATAAATAGGATGAGGGTTTTGAGTGGAATGAATACCTTTTCGAAGAGCAATGGAGGGAGTAGCTATCTCTATGATTAGCAAGACCGTTGGAGGAGGTGAGACTAATGTAGGAGATGAGTCACTAGCTTGTGTACCTGTATCCAAAACAAGGTCAGTAGTAGGCAACGAGAAGAGACTTGAAGAGGTCCAATTGTGGCTGGGTTTGGAAGAATATGGATTGGATCGATTTCATAAATTGAGTTTTGATGAGTTGATTGATTTGGAAAGTAAGGAGTAATCTTGAAAAAGGTTATATCTGCAAAGACGAATTTAGAGGAAATTGGTTTATAGCATTTGTATCCTTTTTGTAAACAAGAATAACCTAAAAAGACACACTTAATTGACTTAGGATGAAGTTTGTCTCGACTAGGAGTATTGTCATGAATAAAGCAAGTATAACCAAAGACATGAGCAGGAAGTCAAAATGGGTCCTGTTTATGAAACAAAATAGAATGAGGACTCTGATTTTGTAATATAGAAGAAGACACCCTATTAATATGAAAACAAGCAGTAAGACTGCATCCCCTAAAAATGAAGTGGAACATGATTATAAAGAGGAAAGTACGAGTTGTTTCAATGAGATCCATTTTGTTGAGGTGTATATACACAAGAGGACTGATGAAGGGTACCTTGAGAAGACATAAACTCGTTAAAATGGTTGAGGAAAGTTATTTTCGAGCATTATCACTATGTAATGTTTTAATGGAAACACTAAACTAATTTCAAATGTCAATATAAATTTTTTGAAAGATGGAAAACAATTTTGAACAATTTTTTATTAGAAACGACCAAGTACAACGAGAATAATCATCAATAAAAGTAATAAAGTAATTAAATCCTAAAGTGGTATTCACACGACTAGGACTCCAAACATCTAAATGAACAATTTGAAACATAGATGAAGCTTTATTATTGATACGCTTAGGAAAAGAAACACGAGATTGTTTCCCAAGTTGACATGTCTCAAACTCTAAAATAGTTAAGGAAATAAATTGGGAACTAAACGTTGAGGTTTGGTAAGATTGGGATGATCGAAATGGTTGTGAAGAAGTTCAGCAGAAGCAGTGGAAGCAAAAACAACACTAGTTTGGGAGTGGAGAGGTAATACAGTCCTTGTGAGTCATATCCTACCCTAATCATCTTCCCCGTATGCTGATTTGCACAAAACATAGTTAACTATAAAGGACATAATGCAATTAAGTGGTTTGATCAATTTACTAATTGAAAGAAGATTATAAGGGCATTCAAAAGTGAACAAGATTAATGTCAAGGTCATTGAAGGAGTAGGTTAAACTTCCCTAATGCCTTTAACTTCAGTTTGTGAACCATTAGATGAGTTTGGAGAAGGGGTGACAATAGAGAAACACTATGTGTTTCATTACCAGAAATGTGACTAGAAGCACCACAATCAAGAACCTAAGGATCTTTGGTTGTAGTGTTGCACTCCTTGATTAATTACCCGCAAGTATACGGATCGCAATGTAGTAATAAAAAGATCGATCCCACGAGGAACAGGTTATGTCCACTTTACTACTTATTCTTAACACTTATGTTTGAACTTTCAGTTGTGAACCATTAGATGAGTTTGTGAGGAAGGGGTGACATAGAGAAACGACTATGCTGGTTTCTTGATTACGCAGAAAATGTTGACTAGGAAGCACCACAATCAAGAACTGAAGGATCTTGGTTTAGTGTTGCACTGCCGTTGAGTTAATACCCGCAAGTATAACGGATCGCAATGTAGTGAATAAAAAGATCGATCGCCACGAGGAACGAGGTGTAATGGGTGCCACTTTGAGCTACTGTATTCTTAAAGAACAGCGTTGATTGTTACAGCCCTAAAATATTGAAGATGCAATTTAAACGTTAATCCTATTTAGACACTATAATTAAATATACTACTGGCGATGGTCTATTGGATAAAGATATTAGTAGAGTACTTAGAGAGAATGTTAGTCGATGCAGTTGTGATTTTTCGTTTGTGTCCGAGTAGCCAAAACAGTGGTAACGATGCGAATAAACGGATTCTCTAATTCACTACTGGTTAAGAGTGATAATTGCAACCTCGCCGTGTTCAGAATTACTCTTATTTATTATATGTATGCTCGTTACTATATAACGAAAATGTTTTTACTTTGGTTGCGAAATATTAACCTATTCGCTTGAATATCTTTGATTATTTCAGTAAGTATAAATTTTAACTTTTGCAAAACAAGTTTAAGAATTCAGTATGCAATTTCCAAGCGTAAATGAATTTCGTCGAGATCGTCTTTGGATCTTTACTAAGATTATTTCTCTTCTGGAGACTATAATTAGTAAACGATTGAGTTAAACAAGAGCCAGAAAGATAACTTATAAGAATTTTATTGAGATGAAGACCAAATGTAGTGTCGTTGCTTTGTATAGAAAGAAGTAGATGAAGA